GTTCCCGTCAACCGTATATTCTACTTGAACCCGAATATCACGAAATTGGCAAACAAATTTGGTTTTGTGAGAGACTCACCCGGAACCCATCAAAACCGAGAGATTCAGCTGGGTTCCGGGTCCGGAACCCATCAAAACCGAGAGATTCAGCTGGGTTCCGGGTGAGTCTCTCACAAAACTAAATTTGTTTGCAAATGAGTGTATTAAAGTCCTGCATCATTTACTGCCTCAATCAATTCAATTTATCAGCTATAAACCGTCTACCATGGGCATATTGGTCCCAGCTACCACAGAATTGATCACCGGAAAACGGGAGAGTATGGGACCAACAGCCAACCAAGCTTTGGAGTCAATGGCAAATCTGCTTAGTTCTGGAACTGGGTGCCTCGTATGCTTTACTTTTGAGATATACCCTCGACGTGGATATTCCTCAAGTAGATATCCGTCTTCGATCCGGACAAGCTGGAATTTTCTCCACTGTTGCGCTTCGCTCACCAGCCCTATTTCTACACTGCCCCCCTCACTCTCGATTTTAGTCTCTTCGTGCCCAATTAAATATCGCTTATAAAACTTGTTCCCAGGCAACCGTTCAATGAACTAGACATAAGCAATACTTTGATAAATTCAACAAAATGTAAACCAATTTAAAGAGGAATAAGAAAACTCCTTTTCAATTTTCAGCGTCCTTGACAGCTAAATGTACTCCCAACTTGTGAGTTGTACTCACTCCCAAGGCCAGAAGCGCTGTATTGGCTTGAATTTCAAGCTTTCAATCCTTGTTGAGAATTATCAGCTGTGCGCACCTCACGACTCTAGGGAAACCCGAACTCGCAACATTCTGGATATTAGTTAATTACTAAACTGTTCGGTCGCTAACGACCGGCCAGCAGTTTTACCAACTAGCAATTAGACAGGACATAAGGCCACTCATTTTTCAGTCAGGTAGTTTAAATTGCATGATCACATGGTAACTTCGACATGGGTCTCAAACTACGCCCGTCAACAAACTGACACTATGACTAGCGGTTATGTACAGTTATAATTAGCGATTTGGCCATTCGCTGAAGGGGCGAGATGGCTCATTGGTCAGAGCGCGAATTTACTGACCGGAAGGTCTATGGTTCGAACCGGACCTCTGCATCTCGACTGCTCCTGCCCGAGCTTGGGCAACTTGGCAGTATCTCAGTCCTCGTGTTTCTTTCGAGTGGCATGGCAGTTCGGCGCCGAAAGGGTTTTACAGCTGAACGATTTGATTCTTTCAAGCATACCTTTTAAGATAATTAGACTGTATCAGCGAAAACATGGTTACAGAGAAGGTTGTTAGAATAGAAAACGTAGTCGGAAAACCAAATTAGTTTGCAAATGAGTGCATATTCGCTAATTTCGTGCAATTTGGTTTCAAGTAGAACATAAGGTTGACGGAAACTCCGGGACTGCGACCACCTGATGAGAAGGTCGAAACCGGTCGTGGGCTGTCGACGAATTTTCAGCGACCTTATGAGTAGTGCATTACAGATAGAACCTTGTTTGTTGTTGGGCGCGTCATTTGACGCAATGGTTTAGTTTCCCTTATTTGAAAATTTGCAGTTTCTTGTTAATAGCGAACAATCAAAAGGGATTTTTCATAGACATAGCGCACTATCATTCATGGACCAGTCCCGATCGCGCAAACATTCTTTTTCAATGATTGCTCACGTAGTTTCGACTATTGATTGCATATTTCTCACATGACTCCGTATGATATGGCGTGCATACCACACAACTCTGTTTTCCTGTCCTTTTAGACCAAGGCTGTTTGTCTTGCCACATTGGTCGATCAGTACAAGTTGTGCATGGCCACGGAAGACTGTCGCGTTGAGTGGCACACCACGTTGTTGAAGGTATTTCTGGTATTCCCATTCGTTAGTTTGTGTTTCCTGTTCAATCATGGAATGCTGGTCACCGTAGAAATAACCTGCTTGGTACTGGGAACTTGCCTGGTTTGGGCGTTAGCGTTGTGGGATAGATGCGCAGGTGTTATGGAGACGAGAGTTCTTCTTTCGGTAAAGCTTGAATAGCGCTCTTCGGTAGGTTTTCACCAAGACTCAGTTTTGGAAATAGGACTCCGTCGGCGTCGAAACAACTACTGTGGGCCCCTTTCCACATGGACAAGGTATCATCAAAATAGAACATTCGAGGCTGCCTCTGAAGGCGTCTTGTGTCAATGAATCGTGGACTGATTTCTATTTAGCCTACCTGTAGATTTGCTGGCCCAATCAAGCCGGCATTCTATACTAATCAGTGCTACTGGTGACCGAAGATCACGGTGTGCACCGGAATCGGCTAAAGAACTAGTTTCTTTTCATAGAGGAAACTACTCACAAGGTTGCTGAAAACTCCTCGACAACCCATAACCGGTTTCGCCCTTTTTGGGGCTCATCAGGTAGGCGCAGTCCCCGAGTTTCCGTTAACCTTAGGATCTACTTGAACCCAAATTGGACTGTTTTCGAAAAATACACTCATTCGCAAATCAAGTCGGTTTTCACGAGAGACTCAACTGAATCTCCTATTTTGGTCGTCAGAATTTGTGCTGCTTTAGTCAATTCACGTTTCGTCCGACAGACCTTTTCGTATTGGCTCGTCTAGCTTAGTTCTAGCAACCGGAATCATCCGCCGATCAATATTCTGTGTATTTTAAGGCCCTCACGTTCGATTCGTGGTCTGGCTGTTCTTGTGCCAATAACACGCCTTACTCTGTTGGTAGTGTGAGGAGATTTGGTGATTTTCAGTTGAGGCTTCGTGCTGTAAGTGAAGCCAAACTATGCTGAAAAGCCGAGAAGCATTGTACAGTTGTTTCATTCTTACTGGGAATCATCGTCATAGTGCGCATCTCACGACATTCCCGGGCGTCTGGAGCCCGTTCGATCACGAACGACCTAGAAGCATTCTGATTGGGTCTCACTTGGACAGAACATGGCGCCACTCATCCTTTAACTACATCCCCTGGTCACACGTGTTGACTGGCTCCTCAGATGGTAGTCACATGGCTGGTTGGCCGCTCATGGTCTAACGGTTAAATGTTCACACCGACAGGTTGCGGGTTCAAAACTCTCGGGGGTTTCATCAAAGTCCATTGATGAAAATTCCCAGTAAGAATGAAGTAGCTTCGTCTCGGATGTTCACCAAATATTAGCTTATCTTACAGGACGAAATTTAACATAAAAATGTCATACTCTGTCCAAACGTTATGAATTAATGTCCTAGCCAACTAGATCTAGCGAGGGAATGCCGTATCGTAGAACACAAGTCATCTGGTTTGAAACATCCTGCCACAGTCGTAGTTCTCCTGGCCTCCAAGGTTTCCTGATCACAGATTGATTGGTTGCCCGAAAGGCTGCTCTAGACGAATGGTTATGGACCATGTTGTGGTTGACACGCATTCCTGATTTCCATGGCCAGCGGTGCTCCTTTGTCCTCTCGACTGAAGACCGCTTACGAATTTGGCGACTGTCAGGTACTTGATTTGTGTCTGTTATCAAATGTCTTCTCAGCAAAGTTTGTGGAGGAATGCTGATCAGCAGAGTCAACCCCTTTGATGGCTGAGGTGCACGATCTGGAGTGGAACGCATGACTACTTTATGATATGCCCTGAATGTTGAGCGGACTGATGTTTCATTCCATTCTCCCCTGAATTCTTTTGGTTCTGTTCTTCTCGATCGGACTTTGCCAGCAAATCTGTCCTCAACCGACTCGCAAGATTCATTCACGGACTTTTCACAGATTCGATATAGGTCGTTCTCGCACCTATCAGACTTTGGATCGGCTTCCTACTTGCATGGGGCGAGTCTGTCCCTCACGTTCTTCATGTGTGCTTCATGCGTGCTTCCGCAGCACCAATCTGACGAAATGTTTGTGGCCCCGCAGTCGTTTTTTTCCAAATAATCCGGCATCATCACCTTCCCGATGGACTCGTGTGTGGACAGCTTGCATTAGAGGATAGTACGTGGTAAAAACACCAAAAACCTTCAAACGCACGACAAAAAAGTGGTGCTCCGGGACATTACAACGATTTCTGTGACAGGTATACACATATGAAAGGATGAAGGTTAAAATCCTGCGAGCCTCGCCAGAGTTATCCGGCTCAAGCCCTAAGCATCTGGTCACACGCACGTAGATCGAAGCGCCAATCAGTTTTCGCCCCACTGGTCTTGCATACGTACAGCGAATTGACTGGGGATGACTCTTCGAGAACTGTAGCTCTCGAAACCAGATACAGTCAGTACACTACTATGAATGTAAATATTCTGTTACGTTTCAAACCGCAACACGCTTACATACATTTGGATGGATTCAATCTTCACTGCTGGTCAGGACCGAATAACCTGAATCCTTTTGTCCCGAAATACTTTACTGACATGAGTGTACTTCTTCGATTTTCGAGATAGTTCACCTGTCGTTCGACCTGGATCATTCCCCCCCTGACTGGAAGACCACAGTAGGTATGAATATCCTCAGAACTACGTGTCCTATCAACTCGACTTCTGTTCTATGTAATACGCCCGAGGGGGTCGTTAGACAAGGACTTCCATGCGCTTTGTCTCTCTGACGACCTTCCTCGTTCGAGAAAAGACAAACTGAAGCCACCCGTTGAAGGTAATTTTTGATGTAAACAAGCAGTAGACAAGCTCACTTTAACATGACTGTCGAGCGGTCGATATTCCTCCGTCAAGACCGCGATGAGTGGACAAAAACAAACAGTCGTGCACAACAGGTCAGAAGCCTCCGAATAGTAGTCTTCGAGATTGTTTTATCCGGTCTGTGTCCGCTTGGTAGACAACTGAAATCGGATTAAGAAAGGTCATCGGGGTGGAAGACAGGTTGACCGGATGGGCTCCAGCAAGGCACACTTCACTGTGCTGACCAGTCTGTTTTCCTTTATTGCGCTTAATCAGCAATGTATGCCCCATAAATCTTCAAATGTAATACATTCTTCGTATTATCAGATTTTCGGGTATGTAAGAGCGTACACTGAGCTTCCTAAATGACCCCGAATACAACTTGGTGTCCGACCAGAACGCCTGCTCTCTCCATTCCTATTTACTCTCGTGATCGACGAGATACTAAGACGAACAATGGAAGGTCTTTAGAACCCTGGTGTTCAAATAGCTGCCGAAGGAAATCTTGTCAACAACATCATTCTCGTCTTCGAAGAGGGGGAATGGGCGCAGGTCTTATTCGATGAACTAATCGAGGCCATCCTTCGCTCTAGCATGCGCTTTGCAGTAACTGAGCACGCCTAAGGTGAGGCGCTCCTGGTTGTGGAGAGCTTCAATTGCCAGTTGATGAGCTCCAAGTTCAGTGTGACAGAGTAAGTTAATGTACGGATCGCCATGTTTCTTTGTACCTGGTAGAGAGCGAGATGGTGCAGTTGCTTAGAGCGCGAATTTACTGACCGGAAGGTCCGTGGTTCGAACCCGACTTCTGCCTCTCGACTTCCCCTGTCTAGGTTTGGGCAACCTGGCATCATCCCAGCCCTTGTGCAACCTTCGGGTGGTATGGCAGCTAGGTACCGAAAGGGTGCTACAGCTGAACAGTTTAACAGTTTTTTCGTACCTGGTAAGTGCAAAGAGCATGAGGATGTGGTGTTCATAAGAATGACCAATGACATCTGTTCGAAAACGAAAATGATATTGTCTGCATATTCCAGGTCCACAGGGTTTTCGTGATCAGTTACTTGGACGCTAGAGTTTCGAAGACCCAACCGTCATTTGCTCATCGATCTTGATTTTAAATAAGAGTGGATAAAATGGACATCCTTATCAGAGACCATTTGTTGCACGGAAGCTTCTGGATAACTCCGAGTATACTCTTGTGCCCCGAGAAGTCCAAGACTACAAAGTACATATTATATTGAGAACTCAGCGTTATTCTCTAATTGTAGGAGGGAACCACTGTAGACGGTGATGATATCGTCCAAAGTTGGTCACTGTGAACACGGAGGTTTGGGAGTGATTTCATCGTCATCATCATCATTGGTTCAGGTGACAAATCTACGATGGGGAAACCTTTGAAGGTTTTTGCTTTAGAGGAATTCGATTTAATATGGATAGTATTTGGTGTGTTGAAGAAGGTAGCCGAAAAGGATCGGTACAGTTTTGTGGACTTGTACTTGGTGCCTCGGGAAATTTCAAGCAATTCACAATGGAAGGAATTGAAGCAATCATTTATTTTTTGAGAACAATGAGCTGACCAAACATGGCCAACTGTCTTATGAATGCGATGAAAAGGGGACGCATTGTTTTTATTAGTCGATCGCTAATTGGGTCTAGTCTGCTTTCAACATTCTAAACTTCGCCGCAGCATCCTCTGTTCAAGCCTAGTGACTGTGTGAGGTACTTGACTTAACCCACTCTGCTGCCAGTTGTATGTTTTGACTTGTCGTTCGGTCTATCAGTCTAGTTTTGTTAGATCCGGAACCACTGTGCCGTCACATTGTCGACATGATGTTGAGTGTGTACTTTACTACCTTAGCTAAGCTCTCGGTCTGCTGTTAATAAAGCAGCGCCTACGGGGGAAGGGTCACCAGAGGATACATAAAGTCTATTTACATCCAAAAACTGATCGAAAACCCATATACAGTGCGTCTTATTTAAGGGGTATGCAGCGACAATAGTCTGGAAATCCGGATGCCTAAACGCGTCACCAGCCCCCGGCATTCATTGCATGCAGGAACGTGATTGGCTGTTGGACCCATACTTTCGATCAATCGGACCTCGCCCTGTTGTTGAACGGGCAAGCTACCCGACCAATCACGTACGGGTTAGGCCTGTTGGTCGTAGCAGCGCCTAATTGGGAGCGGTAAGGCGGTTTTGGTGTAGAATTCCTCCTAACAGACTGTCCCGTATTTCACATGAAATTAGCTGTTTTTGGAGTAGACCGTCTCGCTTCCCATGACTTACGAGCTGTTCCAGTTGTAGGGCGCTGCTTCTGTCTGACAGTGAAAACTTGTCTGTTCAAGCATCTACAGGTTTTTCTGAACCCATTTCATCTGGGGTAACGACTTATAACTGCGAGTGGACCCTCATAAGGAGGTTGTAAACCCATTTCACCCTCAAAATTGTGATTAATTTTAGTGTCATTAACAGACTAGAAAATGTCTCTTCATTAACTACTTTAAAACGGAGGAAATTTATTCACTTTTCAACATTTCTCTCATACTGTCTCAACACCCACGCTCTACATGCTCAAATGACCTACTTCACTTACATTTCTCTGCACACCTTTTCTGTCCAGTCCATACAGAATCTCCGAATTCTCGAACGACAACGATTAGACGCATTGGTTAAAGGATTGAACGTTTACAAGAATCTTTTCGATCAGTCCGTTGTGTCATTCCAAACGGCAGTATCAGATTTGGCGGTATGTCTCGCCATTTTCTTTCATGGCACATCGTGTTGCGTTTACGACGTACCTCTCTGAACTGACCAATCGTCTGGTGCGACAGCTTTTGTTTACTCTGAAGTCCCATACCTCATTGGGTGCAGTAATTTGGGGCACTTTTCGGAAAATTTGACATGGAATCGTCTCTGCATTAATCAATAATTGGTCCTCTGAAATGAAATATCCACTGAGATATTGTCATCCGGAGAACAAATGAATTACAGATCGGGTGAAATGAACTGTCAGGTCCAAAGACACTTTGATTAGACAAATGATGGAATGTTGGAGCTTCTATGCAGAAGTTTTTCCGTTCAGGTAGTTCTACCCCAATGGTGCACTGATGATGTCTCCTCATATGATGACCAAGCGTTTGCTCGGTCAACAGATCAACAACCACGTGATCGAAAAACAATAGCTCAAAGGATTCGTGAGATATATCATGATGAGAGATTTTCGAATCTAGAAAGAAATGCAGGCTACCTACTGGCTTTTTGTCTCATTCGAAGCTTCAGTTCTCTCATTTTAACCTAAAAAACGGGGGCAGTCGTCATTACCTCTCGGTAGTGATCGACCTTTCCTACTGACGTGCACTCGATCTGTTTTTAACTGTACGTACATATGGTCTGTACATTTTCAGCTTGCGCCAAGGTCGTTGGTTTCCTTTGTGGCGTCTATACTCACCGATTCGCCCGAGCTAAGTTGAATAGTTTGCCACAATATGGGCATTGCACACGCTCGTCAAGCTGACAAGAGAATGCGTTTGAACGAGATGTGGCAAAGAAGATGATGTAAACGTTCGAAGCGGCTCAGTTTGCCGAATCTGTTGTTGTCATTGGCTTCAGTAGTCAATTAGTTGGGATCGGTTGAAAAGTCGACTTCGAAATAGCTTAGTGGTGCTTTCTATCGTTCATTGTTCCCGCGTTTACTCGCCTGACTTCCATTCCATTCACCTCGTCACTGCGTCTTCAAGTCGTCCCCATTTCTACACTCAGGCTGCTGTGAAGTCTGCTGATCCGTCGGCAGATCTTGACCTGTTCCGTAAACGCGCACAATTCGCCACTGCGGATTTGACCAAGATCCCCAACAGTCCGACGCCCGAACAGCCATTCTACGATAACCCAATACTGAAGTCAGCCGTTGGATGCTCTCAACAAAGACTAATGGAAGTACCCGGTGAACACCTTATACTCAAGTTGCAATCGTCTTCTTCAACACTGTCCACGGATGTGGATTCGCAAGCGTCAAAACACGTGAACAGCGCCTTCGCTAACGATCAAGGTGTGTAGCTTTTTGTTTGTTGGATTCTCTGTTGATACCCGCGTACCTGTGCCACTCTATTCCCCAGGGATTACTAATCGCCTCAAAAAGTACACCAGTCTCGCGGAACGGACGAAATAATGACACCGAGTGAACACAGGTTCATCCCATGTGCTCGTTTTTTTTCAAATGTTCACTCGTTTTTGGTGCAGCAAGTAAATTTGTAGTGGCTTATCTAGGTAATACTCCCGTTATAACCAAACAAGAACTCGGCTATCACAAAAGGTGATTTTGCCTTTTCCGCGAAGAGGCTGTGTTTTACAATATCTTATACAACGATCACCTGTCTCTGACGTGCGTTCCCCATCGATCCTGTTAGCCGCCCCTGTGGAGAAGTTTTCGCATTATTGTGAAACTCTCTCAACGTGATTTGAGGAATAGTTTCCAATTACCAATGTAGCTGCTACACGCCCTTTCTCGTTTTCCAAATTGTGTTTTTACCTCACGCACCCGACGATTACCGATCCGTAGTCATAGGAAACATGTTCGATAGTACATGCGAGATGGCCCAAGTGGTTAGAGTGCGAATTTACTGACCGGAAGGTCTGGGGTTCGAACCCGATCTCTGCCTCTCGACTTCCCCTGTCTAGGCTTGGGCAACCTGGCAGTATCCCAGCTCTCGTAAAACCTTCGGGTGGCACGTCAGTTAGGCACCGAAGGGGTGCGACAACTGAACGATTTTTTCTATAGCGTATGCATCATTCTAATTAGACATGATTAGACACCGCGCTCATATTGATGCGTTGTTTTTTTCAGATGCATTTGTCTGGAACTCCTTGGTATGGCGTGTTGTTGTCTAGACGGTATAATCGCATCTCGAGGTGATGCATAGCCGTACTGGCCACAGTTGGTGTGTGAAACCTGTGGCTAACTTCACGTTTTTTATCACTGGATCCGATCGATGCGGTCGGTCCCATGAATTTACGAAACACACGGTTAAATGAGCACAAAGTTATGGTTGTTGTTACGATAGTAATCATGTAAAACTAATGTGGTTCGTGTATGTGTTTTTCGCCTGGTGACATCAAGCAATTGCGGCAAACATTTACGCCACTTACACCCACGTCATCGGCATGCATTATGATGTAACGTGGGGTTAGAGCGCGAATTTACTGGCCGGAAGGTCTGGGGTTCGAACCTGACCTCTGCCTCTCGACTTCCCTTGTCTAGGCTTGGGCAACCTCGCAGTATTCTAACCCCCGTGCTTCCTTCGGGTGGCATCGCGGTTAAGCACAGAAAGGGTGCTACAGCTGGACGATTTTAACGTGCGGTCAAACCGTTTGTCCGAACGAGCGTGGTTGAATGGGTAAATGTGTATCGGTCGATCGATTTGTGGCTGCCCAGACTGAGTTTCTGTTTCCCTCGGAAAACTAGTTGCGTTGTTTTTTTGACAAATGCTACCTTCTTCCGCATCGAATATTTCCTGTCAAAATGTTGTGGTCTTTTTGTTTAGCTACGGGGCGGGGAATATGTAGACCTGAAAAGCGCAATCAAAAACAGCAGCGTACGTGTGCATGGTCGGAGTCCACGCTAATGTTTTAGGACGAGCGGCGGGTATTGATCAACCCTCGCTGCTGGTAGCTGATGGTAATGTGGTCTATCTGGATTCGGGATTGGTTCGTTCGTGGGCACCACGTTGTCAAGCGATTCCGGCTGTTCGGGAAGTCGACACTGCAAAGGAGCAGTCTGTGATCGGCACATATCTGAAGTAGACGCTTTCCGTTGTCAATGCGTCTCCTACACCACCCAAGACGACCACTCAATTGGGTCTCAGCAGCGCGTAGTCTCGTCCAGCTGTAGCACCCTTTCGGTGTCTAACTGCCATGCCACCCGAAAGTTGCACGAGGGCTGGGATAATGCCAGGTTGCCCAAGCCTAGACAGGGGAGGTCGAGAGGTCGGGTTCGAACCACAGACCATCCGGTCAGTAAATTCGCGTTCGAACCATTCAGGCCTTCTCGCCCCCCCATGCCCGTAGTCTACCTACCTGGGATTCATGTCCACACCAAACACAACTATATCCGAGCTTTTAGCCTGTTGTAAAAGGGCACCTAGGGCGTCATAGAAACTGTCTTTGATGGATTCAGAGTTACAGTTCGTTGGAGTTTAGAAGGACACAATAAACGGAGTGCAATGGACCTCTTATTTCTCAAAATTCTTTCACGGATGTGTGTCATCCTTCTCGCTCCGATGTTGTTTTCGAAACCAAACGGAATGAACACACGAATCTTATAGCAAACTGCCCTGCCTGTTCAAGTTCACCTCCATCCATGTCTGCCACTCTGTACTAACATATGAGTGTTCCATAACGTCCAAGAAGGGTGTTTACAATGCGGAGAAATGATATCGTTTAGCCACTCTGTACATCCCACCCTGTCGCTCTGTGGACCCGAATACGCTTCGCACTTCTGTGTGAACCTCTGGGACAGACTTGAAATCTACTTTTGCAAATGTTCCGCGAAAAATTATTCAAGGATCAAGGGAGTTCTGTCAAAGTTTACCCAACTGCTATGACGATCTACTCGTACAGATTGGCTCTCTTTTCACAGAATCAGCCAATCCGAGAACGCAGATTACCCTGGGCGATCACACTGACTCAAACCCACTCAAGTACTCAAAGTGTTGTTCCAACGGCCATGGGATACCACTTGATCTCTTAATTGCTGATCCATTTATGGTACTGTTTTACTTGCTATGTATGCACTAGTCTTCTTATATCTTCGTTAGCCTATATGCTTACTAAGTAAGTTTTCCTGTGAACGCTGGGTACAGATGATTCTCGAAGATTGGGCGATAGCACAGCAAAGCCTTACAACCTTCGAGCTTGGTGGATAACTTTGATGATGACTTATTCTGCGGTTCTTTGCTTCCTCTTTCTATTGTTTTCTCCAAATGAAATGCAACTGAAAGTTCAAAACTCAACCATTCTCGGGCTTCATTCTGATCAGTTTATCTGTTGTACAACTATACTTATTTCTGATATCGTATTGGTTTCTGCCTTTGTACAACAGGTGAAGTTCCACCAGCGACCAATTCAGCGCAATCTATTCCATCTCGTCTACGTGAGAGCCTGACGAGGGAATGTCTCTTCACTCAACTGGAGCTGTTGTCGAAGGAAGTGATAAAGGAGAGGCGGACAAAACAAGGTACATTGATTTAATCCGGATGAATGCATAAACCTACCAATGTGAACAATGTTCATTCAGTTTGTCACTTTCTCACAGTCAAATTTGATGTTTTGCTAAGCTCCTGACAATCTAAGTCAACCGTTTGATATCCTTCATTGCGTCTCACCATATGCAGAGTGGTCGCAAATTCCAACATGCTATGTACTTCCGGTGATTCTGTCTTAGGAGGGCTAATGGCAAGGTGGAATTGCCATTAACGCAGGTAACCAAGAGGTTTCATCTTGTCTCGGTACCTAGCTTCCATGCCACCGAAAGGTAACACGGGGGCTGAGATACCGCCAGGTTTCCCAAGCCTAGGTAGAAGCACTCGAGATGTCGGGGTTGATTGTGAACCACGCAGGCCTTCCTATCCGTAACTTTGAACCTCAACTCGGGAGCTATCTTGTTAGTGTACCAAGTACTTGATTGTTTATTAAAAATCCACTCATCCGTGGGTAAAATTGTGAATACAACGCCTAATAATTTAACCCGGGCTACAGTTCCATCATAGTGAGTCCCAGATAAATCTCTCGTTTATGATGTTCTCAACTGAATGTGTTGCACCAGGCCGCCTCACATTCCAGTTGGAATCGCATTATTTTGCGTGGACGTAACATACTACTCACAGGGTTGCTGAAAATTCTTCGCAGACCAACATCGGCTCCACTCGCCCTTCTTGGAGCTCATCACATCAACGTTGAACCCATATTGCACGAAATCCTCAACTACCTATCTGGTTTTTACGGGATACCCACCTGGTCCCAACTGAATCTCTCGCTTATAGTGTTCTTCAATTTTTCCCAAGTTAACTCCGGAAATGTCAATATAATATGGTCGTCTGGTACCTACTTGCAACAGTATTCTTCCCGCTCCAGAAATTGCTTTGAAACCAACAAAAGTATCATCACGAATTAGCGTTTGAATTTATTTTCTTGAAGAAACCTCACGCATAATGTTGCTGAGAACTGTTTGAGCAGTGATCTTTTAAGAAAATATATTGTGATATCTTGGCCATGGTGCCAAGTGAAACATGAGGCGGACTTTGTGCAGCACACCCAATTGAAGTGTCATAACTGAGGAATCGAGCCGATATACCCTGTAAACACCAAGTTGTTGTCCGGATTTGTACTTGCATCTGACTTGGCGTACAAAGGAGCCCCAAAGGGTCATCGTTTTACGTACTGAAAAGCAGTAAATAAACTTCGAGAAATACACTCATTTGCAAATCAATTTGGTTTTCACGGGAGACTCAACTGATTCTCTCGTTTGTGATATTCTACAACTGAATGTGCTGCACGCAGGCCGCCTCATGATTCAGCTGGCACGATATTCGAGATATCGCAGTATATTTTCACAAAGGAAACTACTCACAAGGTTGCTGAAAACTCATCGGCAGCCCACGACCGGTTTTGCCCTTCTTGAGGCTCATCAGGTAGGCATAGTCCCCGAGTTTCTCGAAAACAGTTCAATTTAGGTTCAAGTAGATCATAAGGTTGACGGAAACTCGGGGACTGTGCCTACCTAATGAGCCCCAAGAATGGCGAAACCGGTCGTGGGCTGTCGAAGAGTTTTCAGCAACCTTGTGAGTAGTTTCCTTTATGAAAAGTAAATAAACCTGTTATTCGGTGAACGATTGCGCCACCTCACCATCGTGTCATGCACTGATCTGCGCAAGAGGTGGCTCAGTGGTTTGGGCGCGAATTTATTGACTCGAGTGTCTGTGGCTCGAACCCAACCTTTTCCTCTCGACTTCTCCTGTCTAGTCTTGGGCGACATGGCGTTATCCCATCGCTCTTGCTTTCTTCTGGTGACATGGCAGCTAGGCATCGAACGATTGCTACAGCTGAATGATACGACCCTCTGAGCTACTCCCCCCTCCTGACTACATCCATCACTAGTTCTTACACTCGGACACCACCTGTTCTGCATTGGTGCTACAGGGTAAACTTCCAAAAGGGGCTAAATAACATTCCCGGGCTACTGAATACGGTAGATCGGCGAAGTAATGAAACTTGATGTCCCTCGACGTCGTCGAATGGCTGTTTGTTTCCTCTGTCGGCAATTTGTTTGTGGCGCATTCAACTGTGGTAATCATATTGATCATGCGCAACATCCTTCACACTGCAGTGAAGCATCGGTGTTGAACAGTGATGTCATGCTGTCGACTATGATGATGATGATGATGAACGTCCCCGCAGCAATGAAATTTAGCTTTCACTGCTAGCTAGTTGCTAGGTAGAAGTACACTCAAGGGTAAACTTTGTTGTTTTTTTTTACAGGAACATTTGGTATTTTAATCTTCTGGCATGGGTTTTGCCTCCAAACCTGTTATCTAGAAACATCTGCTGTTTACATCTGGTAGCTTCAAGCCCATCCAGTCGGCTAAAATGCAGACTGCACTTTTTCAACTTTTCCGGGAATCGATATGTACACCAATTGGTTACGTTGACGTTGCTATTTTCAACATTGGCCGCGAATTTTGAGCTTTGTATCTCGTCTAGTGACCCACCAAACCGTATGTCCACAGTTTGCTGTCTGTTTCGGTGTACGTACACCTGATTCAACGTGCGGCTCCACCGCTTTTAGGCACGCACGCACGCAGCATATGCACGCAATGTTCCGATATTTGTCATGTCCCCATATCTGGTAGCCGAATCGCTCGGTCGGAATGAACGATCTAACGTATACCACGTATTTCTGAAGTCAAAAGCGGTCTGAGTTTAGAATAGGTTAGTATGTTTTGTGCTGGCCTATGCGTAGTCAAATTGCTGGGCTGGATTCCAGAACCTTCATTCTGTGTGCACCGTTGTGTTCATTACGGAGGATTCGACTCAGTTCAGTCCAACTCCTTTGTTTGACATGGAGTTAGACGTAGATCTGTGAATATAATGCAATCTCCATGTCCTCAGTATAAGGGGGGCTTTCGAAAAGCTTCCGTACACAAAGCAGTGTCCGTCAGGGGTGCCCATCCTTTCTCCATTCCCATTTAATTTCGTGATTGACGAGCTAATGAGACGAACGCTGGAAGGTCTTCGAAACTTCGGTGTTCAGACAGATGCTAATGAAAAATTCCTCGAGTTGGAACGCGCAAATGACATCCTTTTCGTGCTAGAAGGCGAGAATAGAGCTTTGCAACCACGAGGTGTGAAGTTGTGTTCCAGAGCATCAGTTTAATCCAAGGAGAAACACTCCTAGTTGTATAGCATTTTACCTATTTTGAAAGCTGTAAAATTTCTATTGTACAGTGACACATGGGATCAGAGCATGAATCTCTGAGGGTTGGCCGCGTTTGCTAATTTGAGACACACCTATGGTGACAATGCGGCACTTTAACCTCAAGGCACATATGTATCAGGTGACTTTACGGGCTTTTGTGTTGTATAGTTTCTACGTTTGGCCTCTTCGAGCAGTGGAAATGATACGTCTTCGTGTCTTCGTCTCAGAGCCATAGCTGGTGCCAGTAAAAATCCGTAGCGAGACGATTAGGAAGTGGGAGAGAGATTACCCAAGTGGTTAAAACGCGAATTTACTGGTCGGAAGATCCGTGGTTCGAACCCGACCTCTGCCTCTCGACTTCCCCTGTCTAGGCTTGGGTAGCCTGGCATTATCCCAGCCCTGGTACTTAGGGTGGCATGGCAGTTAGGCACCGAAAGGGTGCTACAGCTGAACGATTCATATTGTATTAATGTGAGTTCAGTTGTGCGATGGGGACTTTCATTGAAGAATGCGTCCTGCGCAGAAAGCTACCTTGGTTTGGTCATATGCCGTGCTACAGCTGAACGATTTATATTGTATTAATGAGGGTTCAGTTGTGCGATGGAGACTTCCATCGAAGAAGGCGTCCAGCCCAGAAAGCTGCATTGGTTTGGTCATATACTGTCTGTGTGGAATCACCGTTTACCAAAACGAGTGCAGTTTTCCGCGTACTCAGAAGGAAGAGTATCAAAGAGAGTCTAGATACTATCGATGCGACTCGTCTTCTAGGATAGGGCTCTGCCCGACCCTTTGCCTGAATGGTTGAAGACGCTGTCTCATATGACTGCTAATCGTTGTCACTGGCGTTTTTGTTGCCATTTTCTATCTAGATTATCTGGATGACTGTCGGATTGAGTGTGGCAGGCGAGCACCAGTCCCTTTTCCCATCCGCTTCGCTCGTTTCTTCACAATAATGCTTTCAGATAAATTATGGTTGTAGGCAGCGAAAAATGAGCGTTGATGCTGTGCTGTGGATGGCGATGGACCAGGCCGCTCACGTTGTCATAGTGAACGATATCAACGTCGCATGATCACCCCCAGTCCGTTGATGTGGTGGTCTTTTTCCCTTCTGAATCAGTTCACTTAGTTGATCACTTGCTGGTTTGTCTTGTCCCGGAGAAGACCGTCGTTAGACCATTCAAGAACCTGAATTTTTTCCGTTAATTTGTCCGTGGTTGGTTGTACTGCCTGCGTCCTGGTCAAATACTATTTTGCCATGAGGTCTAAGACAGAAAAACAGAAATTCGTAATGCACTACTCATAAGGTTGCTGAAAATTCCTTGACAGCCCACGACCGGTTTCGCTCTTCTTGATGCTCATGAGGTAGGTGCAGTTCCAGAGTTTTCGGTTAACCTTATGTTCTACTTGAACCCAAATTGCTCGAAATTACCGAAGTGCACTCATCTGCATACGAATTTGGTTTTGCGGGAAACTCATCTGGAACCCAGCTGAATCTCTCGTTTGTGATACTNGTAACCGCTGTTTGCTCCTGTGTCGGAAAGGAAGTACTTTAAGGAGAAACGGTCGAAGTTGTATTAAGTAAACGGCATAATGATTTGAGATGTAACCTTTTGAACTCATCTGTACCATCAAGGACTTGCCAAAATCTTCTTGGAAAAGTGTACATACCTCACAATATTACAAGCATTAATGCTCATCAACGTCATCTTATCAATAAGGATAACACCACCAGATCAGAACACCTGCGCTTCAGTGCCATTTAACCATGCCAATTGATAAGAATAAAGTCTTGCATCACGGTATTTCAAATGTCGTGGCGACTGAAACATGAGGCGGCCAGGTGCAGCACATTCAGTTGCCTGGAAACATCACAAACGAGAGATTCAGCTGAGTCCCAGGTGAGTGAGACCAAATTAGTTTGTCAATGAGTGTATTTCGCTAAACCGGAAATTCCTCTTTTCGATGCATTTTGGGCATGAATTTTACAGTTCGTATTGTGGGAACTCTGGTGAGAACGGTTGCTCAGTGCGCAACTACGTGACTGTTATACTCGAAACCAGGAAATCAAAGAATGTTTATTAATTTCAATTGTAGCTATGATCAGGCGTCAAAAATCTTCAGTGGACCACAGAATTCCTCAGTTATCTACGACTCCTTGTGTTAACCTCTTACAAGCGGTAGCCCACTATTTACATTGCGATTATCTGGGCTTAGGTTCGCTCATGATTTTCTGGTTAGTTTCTCACTTTGTTACACTACTTCGCTTTTCTAAGTGTAGTAAAAGCCTCTAGAGCGACCATTTTGGTGACTCCATTCAAAATGTTTATCATCTTAGTGGCGTCCTCATTTCTATGATAGTAAGAACTGGGTGCTGTTCACCATCAGCTACAGCGTAATTCGAGAATTGAGGCTTGAACATCGATCAGCAAACCTCGGCAGGCAGGTGCACCATCCCCACGTACCGGTCACTCATCAGATCCTGGCGTAATTAGAACAGACTTATCAGGTTACTTTGTTTCTCATTTGCCCTCTACATGACCTGGAACTCAGCAGATCTTGTTTTTTCTGAAACACTTCATGCTAAACTCCCTCGGGCTTTACGTTTGCATTCAATATCAAGTACTACTACATCATACCGTTCTGGCATTTTGACGGATTCATTGAGAATATGACCGCATTTTCCAGAATCTCCTCACGAATATTCGTACTCAGAGGTATATGGACATTGTCGGCTGATTTCGAACAGAACCTGTCGCCACCACACTGACTGGTCAGGTGGGACGGTTAATCGTAGAGCCGATGGGAATTGGTACTAGTCCAGGGGGTCGAACCTAAAAGTGATTTGGACGCCGACCAATCAGAGCGCCGATCAGCGAACCAAACTATAGGACAAATTCTAATTGAACAGCCATGTGCATACACCAGTGCGTCGACACACTCTGAACCACGACGTACCACCGCACTTTTTTCACTGATGGCGTCATATGGATTGGTGGCATCTGTACTTTTATTTAGCTGCGTGTTTGTTTGTGTGCTGGTACATCTGTCGTTTGACACGGTCCACCAGTCACTATCATGGAAGGATAGCATAAGTGAATGACATTCAATACTGCAAACTCGGGTCTAGCTATCTCGTAATGTGGCAACCGTTTTTGTTACGCGTGAACTGTAAACCGCCGGCTGAATGCTCAAATCCCTGCTTGACAAAGCGATGTTTTTCTCGCTGTCACTGCCCTCTTTCTTGCGGCGTTGATCGATAGTGTCTGCTTGAGATCAATAGTTAGGTAAAATTGCCCGGAAATACCATATGACAGGTTGTTTAAGAGTATGCCAGACTGCGGAGGCGGTCGTGGGCGATGCTAGGAAGAGAAGTAATAGAGCGTTAGCAACAGCAAATGGTGTTCTGTTGAGTGAAGTTCACTTGAACTGAGATTTACCCCTATTCGTGCAAGGAGCGTTCGGGATGCTGTGAGCCATGAAGTCATCCCCTTAGTAAAGAAATAGTTTGCTATTAACCGATTGCCCTCCATCAGCCTCAGTAAAGAGCTCCCTCGTAAAGACTGACTGGACGGTTTCGCGGTCTTTATCTCGTGTCCGATGATTCCTCACTTGTTGATGGGTTTCCAGCCTTCTGTTGGCAGTACGTGGTCGGAGGTAGCGTTGTACCCGGTCTAGGTGTGATAGAGATGCTCCGCTGATCACTATAAATCTGATTTAACATTTCAAGTCCTGTCTATAACTCGGTGTGTCCACCTTGTGTATTTCAGTAGGCTGGCAGTATGTGGTCGGAGGTAGTGTTGTATCCGGTCTAGATGCGATAGAGATGCTCCGCTGATCACTTTAGATCTGATTCAACATTTCAAGTCCTGTCTATACCTCGGCGTCCGTCAAAATAACTGCCAGTCCGGACCTTGTACTGATGAGTTGTTTGTCTAGAACAAGACAGCTCTCCGAGTAATATGTGGGATGTTTTAACATGATTTATTTTGTGTTGTATCGGTAGGTCTCACAAATCTTGTTCAAGTCTATGCTCGTGAACCAGCCTACTCCGATGAGCGTACTTACTGTGAGGCCCGCCGTCGTCTTTATGTGTCCCGTGTGCGTCTGACCTATCTAACCAATTGCCGACAGAAATCGATCTACAGCCTCATGTGTCTCCTGTCCGCTCCGGGCTCTCAGTCTGCTCCAGACCGGCTTCCTAAACACGTCTACGCTGAAGCGTTGGTGCGTGCCGGGTTTTACAATCTACCATGGATCTCATCGCTCGCCTCTGGCTCCAACTCCAGTCTGCCCCCGTCAGCTGTCCGGTGGATACCTCTCCCCGATTTAGACGAGGAGACCTCATTCAGAAGGTTATCACGACCACTTGGTGAGTAGATTTTCCGTTCGTCTTGTCGAAGATTGTACTAACAAGTTGAAGGAAGACATTTTTCGTTTGAAATCCATCACCTATCACGGTATATTGTACTGCATTCTAGAATGGCCACCATTTCCTGCTAGCGATGCACCTTGTGAGGACTTGAATGAAGGCCTCTTCGAGTGGGAACTCGAGAGACTGGTTCAACGGGACATCGAAGAACAGACCGCAATTTCTGAGTTCACTGGGGAATTGTACTGGGAGAACATTGATTCGATCGATGGCGAGGATTCTCCTCTAAGCTCTGTGAAGAAAGGAATAAAAGAAGGCATTTCTTCTCCGCTGATGTTGCGCAGAAATTCCAACACTCGGTGTAACGGATCTTCTGAAATTTCGAATTTTGGCGCAAACGACAGTCGCATAAAGAAAACCGGTTTGGTGAAAATACAGACAACTGAGCATAATGTACCAAACAGATATTCTTCCAGACCCTCAAAAGATATTGATCACATTATCCCTTCGGTGACAGATTCATTGATGGATAAAGCGAACAAACCCTTGCTACATGACAACCGTTCGAGGTTCCTCGGTAGCTCTCGATTTAGGGCTATATCGATTGGAAGAGGCAACACGACTTCGTCTAAACCAGAAGCAAACCAAATCAACAGTCCTCCAGTGTCCCCGTCTCCGATTTCCGTTCAATTTTCTCCGCCGTTTGATGCCTCTTCTCACGAAGCGAAACAGCCAACATCCTCCGTAAGTATTTTTTTAGTTAATGATCATTCCTGGTTATGTTTTTCTGTCATACCTGGATATTTCTTCCTCGTGATGGATAGCTTCTTGATACTGAAAAGTATGTCAGTTATCTCTGTGGCTGCCGCTTAAGTTCATACGAACCACGATTGTGATTCTCAACCTTTTCGAATGTTCCACCCCTGTGGGTTTGTTTCTGCACATTGGCATCCACCGGAATCTGTCCAGCTTCTTTTCCTCACCCAAGGACAGTCGTAGTTAGATATCTAGGAACGAAAAGTTGTACAACCGATCGTTTCGAAGTGTGATCGGTAGCTTAAGCATATGAGCGGCTATTTTTTATGCGTTAGTTGAGCCGTTCGCCGAGCTCGACAAACGCTTCGTCACCATGCGAGTGGAAGTTGTTGATATGCGCGCTGAACTAGGGTGAGGTGTGATCTATTTGCGCGTATTGGTGATGTCTCCTCGCATCTTGAAAAGAAGTTGGCGAAACGGTTGCCAAACTCGATGGACAAATCATCTGCCATCTCGTTCAGCGTCAGCACCCTTTCGGTGCCTAACTGTCATGCTAACCCAAGGAGGCATCAGGACTGGGATACTGTCAGGTTGCCCAGACTTAGACGGGAGAAGTCGAGAGGCAGAGGTCGGGTTCGAACCACGGACCTTCCGGTCAGTAAATTCGCACTCTAACCACTGAGTCATCTCGCCATTTACCATCTGATAAACAGTCGCTTAATCCACCCGAGCTGTCAATATTTGGACACATGACCAACAGCCAGATGACTGTTTTCACAGATGTAAGATCCGGACGGTTAAGGATCTCACAGGACGACTGCGACTATTAGATTATACGCAGTTCGTAGCCAGTAGTCAATAGGAGCAGACAGACGTGGGGCAGTAGATGATATATTGAAGACTGACAGGAACTGGTTCTACAGAAAAACGAATTAGTAAGCATCATGAATTAAGAAAACGTACAATCAACAATGACGCAATCTATAGGAGCGGGAAGCAGTCACTGTCACAGCACGGATTTCTGTAGGGGCAACAAGAAGTAAGTACCAAACGATGTGCAAACATACATATCGGGGCAGTCTGACAGTATGAGTTGGCCGTAACGGCGTAGGAGTCAGTACGTTCGGGATTTGAGGGACTGTCTTTCGGTCGGTGTCGACGCAGCCGCTCGTGTCGCGCGACAGGTCGGATTGCGCGGTTTCAGCGGTTTAAAACAAAGCTAAGCAGGGGCTATCTGGCAGGCATGATACATGGATAATAGAAAATAAACAACC